GTGACCCATTGCCTTAACAGATAACAGATAATCAGAGTTGGAAGAGACCTTATAGGTCATCTAGTCCAACCCCCCACCCAAGCAGGAGACCCTACACCATTTCTGACACATGGCAGTCCAATCGCTTCCTGAAAGCCTCCAGGGATGAAGCTCCCACAACTTCTGAAGTCAAGCTGTTCCATTGGCAGAAGAACACCCAATGTTGACACAGAAGGGACAAGAAGAAATTTCTTGTTTGTAAACTGGTTAAAAGTTTATTGATATATGTGTGTGTGTGTGTGTGTTATTTTAATCAACAAGGTTTATATAACACCATCACGGAACAACTTCACATCGGATAGCGGTCCTGGATTAAGAAAAATGACCCCTAGTTAATATTTTAAAAGAAAAGGATAGACGAACAAATCTATCAAATCCACAAAGAAGAGGGACTCTGCTTGTTTTCCAAAAGCCCCGAAGGCAGGACAAGAAGATGGAAACTAACTGGACTGTAACTTTTCTGAAATGGGATAGGGTCTCCTGCTTGAGCAGGGGGTTGGACTAGAAGACCTCCAAGGTCCCTTCCAGCTCTCCTCTGATTGAAGGAGAGAAGCAAAGTGGAATTAAGGAGGAATTTCTTGACAGTGACAACAATTAACCAGTGGAACTGCCTGCCACCAGAAGTTGTGGGTGCTCCAACACTGGAGGTTTTTAAGAAGAGGTTTGTCTGAAATAGTATAGGGGTCTCCTGCTTGAGGGGCTGGACTAGAAGACCTCCAAGGTCCCTTCCAGCTCTGTTATTCTATTACTGCTATTAACCAGTGGAATGACTTGCCTCTAAAAGTTGTGGTTGCTTCACCACTGGAGGCCTTCAAGGATGGCCCCTTTATCAGAGGTGGGATTCAAATTTTTAAAGAACCAGTTCTGTGGGCGTGGCATAGGTGGTGGGCGTGGCTTGGCAGTCATGTGACTGGGGGGACATGGCTTGGTGGTCATGTTATTGGCTGGATGTGGCCAACTCAATATCACTCACATTGAGGCACGCATCTCCTCGCCTGGCCTCTCATGACTGTGGGGATGTTGCAATAGTCGTAAGTGGGGAAAATGGTCATAAGTCACTTTTTTCAGTGCCACTGTAACTTTGAACGGTCCCTCCACACATCAAAATACCAGCAAAGGAGGGGGAAAAAAAACTCCAGAGACATTCCTGAGACAGGAAGTCTAGTCCTGCCAAGAATGTAATAAGGGTTAACGGAAAGACAGTTTCTGTAAGCAACACCAGAATGTTTCCTTCCTGCCTTCCTTACAGGATTAGCCCAGTAATTTCTTCTAACAACCGGTTCTCCGAACTGCTTAGATTGTTAACAACCGGTTCTAGCAAATAGGTGCGATCTGGTAGAATCCCACCCCTGTCCTTTATCTGAAATGGTGCAAGGTCTCTTGCTTGAGAGGCTGGACTACAAGACTTCCAAGATCCCTTCAAGCTCTTTTATTCAATAAAGTTATTCTAAGTCTTATGACCATTTTTCACACTTACGACCGTTGCAGCATCCCATGGTCACGTGATTTGCAGTCAGAAGCTTGAACTACTGACTCACATTTATGATGGTTGCTGCGTTCCCCGGGGTCAGGTGCTCCCCTTTTGCGACGCTTCAACCAGCCAAGTCAATGAGAGAAACCAGATTCGCTTAACGACTGTGTGACGAATTTAACAACTGCTGTGATTCGCTTAACAAACGTGGCGAGAAAAGTCGCAAAGTGGGGCAAACCCTCACTTAACCAATGTCTCACTTAGCAGCTTGAATGTTGTGACCTTGGTTGTGGCTGTTAAGTTGAGGACTAGCTGTACTATATGGGCATGTTTGGGCCAGTGTCAAAGTAAATAGTGGAACCAAGCCAAAAACAGAAATTAGATTTAATTTAATGGTGTGGAATACATTGAACAGAGTTAGCATAATTCACTCTCCTTGCACCGTATTTTAAATAATTGAATTGGGAAGAAGCTAGATGGCAGCACACACCGCTAATTTTAATTATCTTGAAAGGATAAGCTGAACCAGAGTTTATGTTGTTTATCTCTGGAAAAAGAGATATTTGGTAAGTCACAAGGGCTCAAGTTTAACCCAAAGGAGAGTTTATCCTTTCGTTTATTCTCCTATCCGTTTCAAGATCACAGCTGCCGCAGACAGAGGCACCCAAAGCTTTCCAGACGGTGCCCCTGTGTTGCAGGTGCTTCATCCCTGGAGGTTCTCAAAAACAGACTGGACAACCATTTGTCTGAAGGTGGTGTATAAGGACTCCTGCCTTGAGCAGGGGGTGGACTAGAAGACCTTGGAGGTCTTTTGCAGCTCCACGATTCTATGATTTAATAGAGGAAAGAGCCAATTCACTTCACTGAGTCCTACAATGCTGAAATGGGAAGATTATCTAGTGCAGCCTTCTACTAGCTGCAGGAAAATCAATCCAAGCATTCATGAGAAGTGACTCTCCAGCCTCCTCCTCCTCCTCCTCCTCCTCCTCCACACACTCCACTCCCTTACAGCCCTGATGATGTTCCCTAGTCTGGTTTTGAAACATCTGCAAGAAAACAACTAAGCTCAGTGAGCACCAAGGACTCCACAGTCGTCGTCTTCTTCTTCTTCTTCTTCTTCTTCTTCTTCTTCTTCTTCTTCTTC